AAATGCAGCTCCAGACGAGCAGAGTATGTGGTGACGTCACGAGTACGCTTCTGTTCCAATAGGCCCAGATTTATGCTGTGCGCTCCCATTCTCCCCAAGTCCTTACTTTCGTGTGTTCTTGTCAAGAACGTACTTGTCAAGAACACAAGTCCGTATTTGCGTTCTTGTGAATTGAAAAGCAGCCACAATTTTAGGTACTCTGAAGAAAGATCTGCCACTTTATGAAACATAATGGAAAACTCAAAAATCTGGTTCATCCTTGGGTGCAATTTCTAAATGCCTGAAGATGCCTTCATCTTTTTAAACAATGCATCATTACATACTAGAACCTATGGTAATGACCATGTTCATGATGAAAAGGTGGTAACTTTTAACTGGACTCTTCGGCTCTGAGATCTTGTTGGTGTTTTAGTATTGCTTTTAGCCATATAAATTGATTTAACTTGAATATTAGAATTGAGTTTGTATGATTTTTTTTTTTTTTTTTAGCTTTTTGGCCATTTATTTATTTTTTTTAAGATTTAGCAAGGCTAGAAAACCATTGTGTTTTTCTCATTATTTGTTCCTTTGTTTGTCTTTGAAATATAATTATAGCTTTCATGGAAGAAGAAGGTCAAACATTTTGCAAAGTAATCCTTTCCAAAATGGGAGTTGAATATTTAACCCACAATTAGCTTCTAAATTACAGTTTGGTTTTATCTAACACAACTTTCTTATGAATATTATTCCTGCTTTTTCATTTTCTACTTCCAATCCGTTGATATGATTGCTTCTCTTGCTGCAGAATGATTATTCAGTCAGATTTGGAGAATATGTTTTTCCTGTACTATGTGTCCATTAAAAAAACTCAGGGAAGTAATTACCTTCACTCCTTACAGGGAATTATGTGGTTAGATTTGAAAAAGAAACAAAAAAGTCAGTTTCATACAGTTTATGCTCTTCTATGCTGTCTAACTTTGCTCTGTTTCATTTACATCTTTATCCTCGCTACATTTCCCCCAATCTGTTCTCTTTGTCTGCAGGGCCAGTATTGTTCAGAAAAGAGTCATCTATTTCCAGGATCAAGGTTCACTCACCATTCGACTTTGTGAGAAAGGTAATGACAGCTGCCTAACTTCTCCTAGACTGTCTTTTGCTGTCCGTTTTTCCTACATTCCCTACATCATGGAATTAAAATAGCATTCACCAAACCTAAAGATATAATGGAGGATGTTAATTTTCCGAGTGGATCATCAAAATAAGTGGTCCTCCTAATTGTCAATCATTCTGGTGATATGTTAATGTAAGGCCTTCTTGCGTGCACCTCCCCATTTTCACTTATCAGTCTGACATAGTAGAAAATGTGCAAATTTTCTTTTGGAAAGTAAGCTTGTATGAGCGAAGCAAACAGCAACTTTTAAACCAAGTGTGCACGAGAGAAATGAGCTTGTGCACACTCTCACGCATGTTTAACAGGCGGTCGGGGTTGTGCATGTGCATATTTTTTTAAAAGGGAGAGGGCAATTTTTTCAAATAATTGCAGAAATCCTCCACTAGACCTTTACCAGTCATTGTTAGATTTGTATGTTGAAATTAGATTTTTCTTCAGAAACATCTTTTTGCTGATTACATATTGATCTTAAATGTCTTTATTTTATTGTATTTCCTTTAAATTTTGCATGAAGTAGCCTGTTTTTCCCTGAGTTACAATGATTTTTATTAAAGTTACTTGCCCAGTCTTGTCTTTAATGGAAAGAGCAGGCCTGATAGGTTTTGGCCCTTCTCTTTGTTGTGTGCTTTATTTCAAATTTTTGTAAATTGTAAATTTAATCAATTTGTTTTTTGTTTTTCTCTAGAAAATCTACTTTTGTTTGTCAAATATTAGGTGTGACCACGGGATGTTTTTTAACCAATGCATTTTATTTACCTTTGTCCACATTTTAAACTCAAACATCAGATTAGGTTCATTTTTGTTTAAAATCTAAATTGCAAAAGATTTATAGTTTTTTTTGTTGTTGTTTTTTTTGCCCATGTTTACAACAAACTACACTAAACCATCTAACCAGCTTTTGCTGACTGCAACACTGTTAATTGTCTCCTGTGGGGAACATATTGTTGTGGTTGTTTATTATTAAAGGATTTTCTTTCCATTTATGGATTAAATCTCACAGGTTTTGAAAAATATCTCTAATATGTGTAATCCCTGATTTATTGTAAGAATGCTCTTACTTTCACCGTTCAAGAGATGCTTTTTAAACGTTAACGTTTGTGATGGAATATGTTTTTATGGGTCAGTCCTAGGACTAAATCAGCAACATGGGCGGTTCTATACAGGGTCCAGAAGGGGCCCCTGCTATGGACCCTGTACTAAAGATTTAATGCATAATAAACTCATGATAGATAAATGATAATATGCACTGGAACAGGATCACAAATGATATGTCTCTTGGACTAGTGTATTTGTTGTTTTGTTGTTGTGTTTTTTACAGTTTTATGTTAACATAGAAATTAAGCTGTTGCACTTCTAGCTTTAGTAATTTTAAGATTTGATCACCATTTTCATCTGCTTTATCTAATGTTTGCGGAGCAGCAGATAGCTTTCTGGCTCACTCTTTGTTTAAATTTTGTTGTTCAGTACCCCCATTAAAAAAAAACACTGGCCCTATCCTGGATCCCAATTAAATTCGGTCTAAAAGCATCGCTAATCACCAGATATTGATTTTCTCTGATACAAACAGGACTGGTTTGGACACTGTAAACGAGTTCAGTTATTTTGTTGCCCATAATTTCATACAAACCTTTCTTCATGTCTGTTTTTGAGTTGTTTGCCTGCATCATTCAATTTAATTGCCTATAATTTATGAGCTTCTTTGTTTTGATTCATTGAATGTGTGAAATAGTGGGTTTGTTTGCAATAACATGTCAAAATGTCACTTCAGTAGGACCATCATGAATATATTTCCTTACAGTAAGAATTTATTGTCTGCATTTATTCAATAGATCTGGCTGAATAGCCGAAATCTAACAGACAAAATGAATATATCACAAGGGAATCTATGTGAGATTTCAGTTTGCCACCACAGAGCAAAGAGAGAGGTTTTATATTGGCTATATATTGTCACAAAGAGGAGTGCTCAATCATTCTTTAAGCTCTTAAAAGAAACCAAACAGTCTGGTTAGGTAATAAACTAGCAGGATTTTCTCAGCTCGCTTGCAAACATTTATTGTACAATAAAAACTGTCTGTGGTTGAATTGTTTTCTCATAGGAATCCTGTCTTTATATACATTTTCATTTCACACTGAATTCAGATTTTTCATGCTATTATCCAAGTCAGTCAAGGCATCCTTAAGGTTCCTTAAAGTTTGACTCTTTCTGCTGCTACTGAGATATCAGGAGAAAATATCCATTCATTAATTGGGCCATATATAAATACTTACATTATTTCCTTGACCTCGCTTTCAGAATCTTTTGTCCAGGTCAAAACTTGAATATTTATGAATAAACTATGGCTAGAATGTCATTGTAATAACTTATTTCTCCCAATTATTACTGTGATGGAGGGTGAAGGAGCACAGCGAAGATGTTTTTTTTTCAAATCACAATGAAAGGATCAAATACAGAAAACACTTAAGATATTTTTAGGCACCTTTAAAAAAAAAAAAAAAAGGGGGGGTTTATTCATCTGTTCATCCATTGTTGTCCTTATTCCAGCACAGACCAGATCCAGCCAGCACCTCTTCCCTGGACTGGTGCTTCAATTACCCGCTGTTAGCTTTCAGAGCTAGTCGCAGACAGCCGGCCGAAAGCACCAGAAAGTCACTGGTTTCATGTTTGGTCTGAACACACCAGTAGGAAATTCATGGAACTTGTAATATTCTGGTACTTATGAGATCAATACATGACTTTAGTTTCACAAACAATATCCTTAGTTAAAAAGTGTAAAATCAAACTTATATGACTGGCTAATCATCAATGAACATAAACTATAAATAAATTTAACTTAACTTTGTGGTGTCACAAAGTTAAGAGATTATAAGCTACAACCTAATCTGATGATAAAACATAAAAGCACAAATTTACAAAAAGCAGGTGACAGTTCACTGCTAAATTATTGCTAAATACTTTTGAAGCTTTTTCAATTATTTCATTAAAGGGCATTGATTCAATGTTGTCGTAGAAGTACTTTTTAATTTTGAGTATCGCATTTCAGAATAAATGTTAATGTTTTTCAGCTGATCTGAATTAATTATAGTGATGTCTGTACCACTAATCATCTTTTCCTTTGTAGTTTGACCAAAGCAAACACTTGTGTTTGAAAAGACTGTATTCACATATATTTGTAAAACCTTTCTTATGTAGTATTTTTTCCCCCTGAGGTTTAATTCCAGGTATATATTATCCTGTTTGTAAAACACCTGCATTAATTACCTAAAAGTTAGCCAAGGGAAGTGATGAAAAAGAAGTTGCACACAAAAAATGGTGGTTATTTGTAAATATGGAAAGAAGGCAAATGTCAAATATATAACAACATCAGGAATTTTCTACTAAAACTGTTCCTTTTACCTTTAAGACAATCAATAGAAAGTTCCCATCGTGTAGTGGTTGAAGTCTTCGACCCAATGGCGTAATGACAGATACAATTATGCAATTCTCAGTAGTATATGATCACACACGGAAAAATAGTGAATGCGCATCTTGAAACATGCCCCATACATACACACTTGATCATTCTCCACCTTCACTGGACATGGATATACGTTAGTACATTCTGATGTAAAATGAGTCTTATCAGGCTCATCGGGCTACCTTGAGCTTCACAGCCCCCCTCCTCACCCACGCTCTCTTCATTCATCTCCTGGTCACAATCTTTACTCACTGTAGCAGCAACGTCCACCTCTCGCTTTTTGGTTCTTTAAAAGAACGTGTTTATTTTGGGAATTTTTTTCCGTTTTTCCAGCAGCTCTTCTTTCCTTTTTCTTTTCTGAAATCTGCTTAAGTACCTCTCTTTGGTATTCATCGTCACTAACACATTGTACATAACAGTTATGGTTTTAATCTACGCTCTGGGTTACCCATAATTCCAAGTCTTAACTGAAAAAATAAAATACTCAAATACATCATTCTTTTAAGATCTTTATTGCGGTTTGAAACAAATGAATGTATTTTTTACCAACTGTCTAATGAACTACACACAGTTATTAACATAGTATTTAAAAGTCCCACTGCCTGCTTTGCTACTGGTGTCGTGTATAAACGGCTCACCATCATGTTGAAATCTGGCATGTGTTGCGGTAAAAATGCAGTCCGGTGCGGTCAGTCTCCTCAGTATCAGGTGGGTTTAAGAGGAACTTTTCACACCACTACATCTGCAAAGAGACGTCCTAGTCTACAATTACATAGGGGGCCTACCAGGTGTCAGTGACGGGGCCCCGAAGAGGTTGTGGGTCCGTTAGCAACTGCTCTCTCTGCTGACCGATAATTACCCCATAGCTTTGACCTTGATGACTTCTAATCCTGGTTACTTTAAAAAGGAAGTTTGATGTAAAAATTTTACCAACTCTGCCATATTGAGTTGCTGTGGTGATCAATGAACACCGGAGCCCCTGAAAGGGCCCACTTTCATGCAGAAGTGTTTGAAATAGACTTGGTAAGGGAATATATACACAATATTTTTGATAAAGTTTTTCTCTATACACTCATTACACGTATATACCTTGCAAATGATTCTTTTGAAATTCATTTCCTATCAAATGAATGTAAAACTGGTCACTTTCAAAGGGTAAATCATCTAAACCATATGAGAGAAGCGACATATGAAGTGCTGACAGGCTTGAATTTATCGCGTTTTTTCTTTTTATTTTCCTAATGGGAACATTATAGGTGATTAAATGCTGTTCAACATGGTCATACTTTAATTGTAATCAAAAATGCTTGAAGTTACAACCTTTAAAAACTCATTGTTGGTCTCATCTGGTCAAAGCACACAGCTGCAGTTCAGTACAAACTGAGGAAAAACTAGGGATAAAAATGTTTTGGTTTTTTTTCTCCAAAAATGTGTCTGAAACAGATAGTTTAATGAATGAGGTACGTATATGATGCATGTTTAGCTGCAGAGCTGTGCTTAAAAGGTTTCTTTAACCAAATTTACCATTCAGGTTTTGGGTGTGGTGTCAGTATACACTAAAGCTTGTCCAGTCTTGTTTATCAGAATTTAGATGATGTTAAACTTAATAATTATTCACCTAACTCTATATGGGCCTAATAATGAAGGCACTATTTTCCTATACCCTTTTCCTACCTTCTATGGAGCATCATATATCTGCATTATTAACTAACATGTTCTTTTGTCTTTCCCCTTTTTAGAAGTAGTTCAGTGAAAATAAGCCATGATTAGTCTGTTTTTTAGGGAATTAGTATTAATATTCGTTATTTTTTAGGGAATCCAGTGATAACCTGCATTTTGACTAAAAACTTCTCAGCAAAATGTATTTTAGATAACTTGTGTTATGGGAGAAGAGAAGGTGTTGTCCTGATGCAAAAGATTTGTCCAAGCTCAACAGCTATTTCCTGCTTAAATAGTTGATAAAATAATATGCTTTGAGAATAAAAGTCTAATAAATATGTTGTAGTGATTAATTTTGTGTGAAGTCAAGTCATTGTATGCCTGTTTACTGTTTGGCTTTAAGCAACAGGTTAACAGTATAAATATCTCCATATTTATATTAGTTGTGATCCAGTCTCGTCTGTTAAGGCTTTAATGTTTGACTCCTTGTATTTATTATCTTTCACATGGTGTCCCCCCCTGCAGAGCGTGTTCTTGGTGAAGTGACTGAAGTACCTGCCATTGAATGCTGCGCCTGTGGAACGGCCAAATACAGACTCACCTTCTATGGCAACTGGTCAGAAAAAATACATCCAAAAGACTATCCAAGTGAGTCATTGCAACAGGCTTAGGCAGGCACCTACAGCTACAGCTACTCTGTGGCTCATCAGGATGATTCAGGTTTTTGGGGGATTTTTTTTCAATCACATTTGCTGTTCTCCAAAAAAATAAAAAAATTAAAGCAGTAATGAGGAATTACTCTGATATTAACTGCTAATCAGGGATACCGTTTGCTTTAAACTTTTACACATGAACTGATATCCGTACAGAGGAAAAAGATCCTTAGATTTTTATATGGAGTGAATTTAGTTCTAAAATTGGTCCAAAGAGCACATTTTGTGAATGGAAATTTGAGAACAGTTGCGATCAAGATATGAAACTTTAAAAATGCTCCTTTTTCAGATTTTACCTTTTCTTTTCTTTTTTTTATGTTTAATTTCTTTTCATACATCTTTTTTTAGACATTTTTCCAGGGTTCCAGATTTTATATGTTTTAGTTTTATTGTTTTTCAAATTTCTCTTTTTCAGAATTAGTTTACCAATTGCATTCTTTTTAAATTGTTTTACAGATCACATTCTCTCCATTTCAAGCTCTATAAAAATGCTCCATCTTGACCTATAAAACTCAATCTGAAAAAAAAAAGAGATTTTGAAACATAGAATATAAAAAAAAGTCCACTAAAGAAGAAAAATCTAAGAAAATTTTATTTCTGGAGTGCATTTTTTAAATTTCCATATACGATACATGTTCTTTGCTTGCAACAATAATGGAACAAAATTTACTCCATACATTTTCCCCTGATAGGTTATCACTGGGCATGTAAGAAAAATGTAAAAATCGGTAAACACAGTTGCATTTTTGTAACATTCATTTGTTACAAATAGAATAAAACAATCCTTGTTTTTTTTTCATGAATTTTTCATGTAACTTTCATCATTACAGCTTATGGATAATGAAAAATTTTTCTACAATTTTAGATAAGAGGTGATCCAAAAAGATAGAAAAAAAGTCCGGATTCTTTTGTCAAGCATCACTTTAGTTGTTGATTATGAATAATTTATTGGATTTATTAGAGTATTTAAACTTTGTGTAGTTTTCTCTAAATTGTTACAACTTTACTACCAATGCTTTTACACAAAAGACAAAGATCTTAATGCTTGATCAATTGTGAGTTTTATACAATGAATTTAAATGTGGTCCTCCATTAAAAAAAAACAAATCTTGGTTATCAACCATTTTCATCTTTGTGTTACTGACAGGGAGCCATTCTACGGTTCACCTGCTTTTACAAGTTACACTGCAAAAAATATAAAGTCACTTTTTTCTAAAAATAAGTGAATTTTTTCTTGAATTGAGGAGGAAAGGCTGATACTTTGCCAATGGAACAAGACAATTTACATTTAGAATAAGAAAAAGCAAAAGCATTGTTTTATTTCAAGTGTATATTATCTAATAATTTTATTTTAGGAGTAAAAATACTCATTCCATAGGCAGATCATCTTGTTTACCCACTCAAATTAAGGGTAACTACACTTGATTGAAGACATTTTTACTCGTTACTAGATCGTTTTTACAGTGTAGGTAAACAACTCGGTGCTAATTTTCCTGTCTCCTTCAGGACGTGCCAACCACTGGTCTGCCCTGATTGGTGCATCACACACCAGGAGTTATGTGCTGTGGGAATACGGTGGCTATGCTAGCGAGGGAGTTCGACAGGTAGCTGAGCTTGGCTCCCCCATCAAGATGGAAGAAGAGATTCGACAGAAGGTAGGGCTAAACTCACCTGATACCTGTAAGGCACCAGCCATATAAATACTGTCCGGTTGTGTCGTTTTGGTTTTGTCAGATATGTTTGTTTAATCGTTGTGTTTTAATGTTTCTCCTGCTTTAACTCCTTGGTAGTGCTTTGAGTTTTCTTCAATAACACTCTTATATACTGTCCACAAAATCATTGGTACTCGTAAACTAACCAATGTTTTCTTACAGAACCTCTATGTATGTTTAAGTGTAGCTCTGATTGGCAGGTTTACTGAAAACCTTTAAAGAAAGAAATGCTTTTAAAAGCTTTTATGATGTTTATCAAAACAGGAACGGTGAAAAATGGTGGAAATGATTGTTGATGGCAAATGGCAACAGTAATGGACTGCATTTAAAAACCTTTTACTGAATACAAAAGCACATTCTATAATGTTCTTTTCACTCAAACACAAAACAGCAACAAACAGACCCCGAAACCGTCAGTACAGCTGTTGCCTCGCACTCTTTTCTACATGTTAAATAAAAAGAATTGTCAACTGTTTTACTCCACGAAGGAAAACTTTATGATTGAGACAAAATGATGGTAATAAATGAACGATGAACTTGTTTTGTCAAAAGATTTTCTCCCCATGAACCAGTACTAATGAACATGTCGCATGCATGCTGCAAATGTGTCCCGGTTCGACATAGATGTGCAGCCGCTCGCGTTCTTTCTTCTGCTGGCCCTCAGAGGTGTGGGCTGGACATTTCAGAGAGAACAATAGGGAGTTGTTAGAGGACTGTTGGTGCGGTGTGTGCCTGTCAGGTCAGGTTAGAGCCGATGTGTGGAGACATTATATCCTGACAGACAGCCCTAACACCTCTCTTGGCGGGTTCTGTCTGTCTCAAGAGTAAAAAAAATAAAAAAAACTACCAGAGGACAATAAAAACTTCAGGCTGTTTTATTGAAAAATAAGATGGCTTCATTCTGTATTACAGGCTGGAAAAGTACCTGCTGGAAAGAGAAGTTCACTCCCACAGTGGAATTTCAGCAAACCTCGTGGATAATCTGTTTTGTTCAATTTGGACTCCTAAATCAAAAAACTTCGATGGTAAAATTAAGTACTTAAGAATTGTCAGGTTCAGTCGATGGTAACGATGTAGAAATAGAAAGCAGGCAAAGGTACAGTAGCAGCCATTCAATATGGCCCCTCCCAGTCAAAAGCCAGCAGTATGGCAGCAAAATCCCCTCAGACTTCCAGCCACTGGAGTGACCCCCTCTTGCATGTTTTTTTTACTCTGACTCCACCCTTTCACTGAATTACAGGGTCTGACCAGGAGATGACGCTTCTCTTTAAATCTAAATGTTCGCAATTCATGACAGAAAGAATATTTTAGATTGTTAAAAATGAATTGTAGGGGACAAGCCAAGGATCCATCAAGGAAAGTGGGGAAATTGTGAATGGCCACTACTGGAAGTGGAGAAAGACATTGTATACTGTAGAGGAGTAAGGAAGAACAGGGTTTAGGTGTTTTCTTTAAGAATTGAAAACATGGCAAACACACAAGGGCTCAAATACAGAAAGTACCACTTTTTTTTTCAATTCACAGAGATGTCGGAGTTCAAACTGGGTGAACATTGAAAGGTCTGCAGTAAAGGTGGGAAGCCGACATGGGTCAGTAATCCCAGTCTTAGCTGAAAATCCCAACCATCCAGAGGAGCAATCAGCTGTGGTGAAATGTGGACAAAGCCTTAAGACCCGCATCTCCAGCCAAGTGCTGTTGGCACTCCTATAACTAACAGAGCTAAGCCTTCAACAACAACAGCAGGGCTGCAGACAGAGACACGGGTAGACAGAAGAATGACAAGACCTGAGAGCTTTCCCTGTAATGACGTAAATACAAAGCCCGGCGATGTCTTCCACAAAAGCACTTCCTTAGACAGCTCTGCACTTTGCAGCACAACCTTATGCATGAAAACATCTGCTAACAAAACGAAATTACCTGTGAGAAATTACACTCAGGTGTTTTCTGGAAGCAAATATTTAGCAGCTGCATATGATGTTGACATCATTCTAATGTAAACTTTGAAAGAACTGATGGGAAAGTTTGTATTTGCTTCATAACTCATCAAGGTCGTGACTTTAACAAGTTTTCTTTGGTTTAAAGTCTTAAGTTTAGCTTGAATAATAAAACTCTCCATTAAACACTCCCTACAAGGTATCCTAACACTAATTTCCAATGAACATAACATGTCATGTACAGACCCGTGTAAAAGGTGTGTGATTTCTGAAAGGCTCCAGGCATTACGTTGTACTGCAGTGTGTGCAACATTACACACAAGTCAGACTGGATGGCAAGCAGTAACCAGTCAAATGTGCAAGAATCCGTCAGCTTATTGATGTCTTAGGGCGGACATTCTGTACTGCACTTCTGCATGGATGGCAAATGCACTCTTATAAAAGTAGGAGCTGGCACTCAAAGAGGTACAGGAATACAGGCATCTCAATGAAAATATCATTAACTCACTTTTCTTTTTACCTCATAATATATAAAGTAATTAAACTGAGTATTTTTTCAAGCAATTATCATTCTGTTTGATGACAGAAATGGTGGATGACTGGATGAAGTATGAACTATCAGACAAAGGAACTTTAAAAAAACAGTGCAGCGATAAGGTGACAGATCAACGGTGAGTATAGCAGAAGAAACAGTCAATGAACCATGAGGCTTTTCAGTTTGAATGCTCAAGATGAGTATTATAAGAATCAGGCGAAACTAATCAGACTTATTCAGAAATGCTGGAAGAGAATCATGGGAGGAATTTGGGAAGGTGACTAATTATCCTATTAAACACAAAGGCAGTATTTCTGGCAGACAATCTAATGCACTCCTCACAGAAAACACTAAGAATTTAAGTCATACTAGGGTCACACAGGGCTTCATCCAATCTTATTAATGGAAGGTTCAAAGGTTCAAATGTAGAACCTTCTATTGTAGTTATAACACTTTCACTATGGTGTTTATTTGAGCAAACCAGTCTGACTTAAACCTAATAGAGAATCTATGGGTTGTTGTCAAGAGGGAGATGAAGTTCACTAAAACTCACTCTTGTGAAGCAGTTATTAAAAAGCAACCTTTCTTTCATTAACACCGTAAGCCGGGCTTTTACTGTACGATTTTTGCCTTTTTCGGGACGCCTTTTCAGTCATTCGAGAATTTTTAGATCGGGCCAACTTTCAGCTTGATTGTGAAGTGTAAAGGGGGTAACGAGCGATCAGCCTCTCACGACCACGATCAGGAATCGTGGGGTCTGGAGAAAATCACACGTTTGAAATTCAGTCGGCCGTTTTGGGCAAATTGCTCGGTGCGCAAACACCGTCGCCTTTTGTTCTTAGGGCTTTCAGCACAAAATTGCACAAATTGCCAAAGCAGCGTGTTTCTCTCTATTGAGCTTCATTGTTCTCTTCTACTCGTTTGGCTTCTGGATAGAGTCTGAATAGCGCCATCTCACTGTGGCTCTTGAGTCCCACGTACTTTTTAGACGTCTAGTGTAGGCATATAGAGCGCATCAGAGCGTCGGGCCGCACAGTGTGAGAACATGCATCGTGAGCTGTGAACTCACACTGTACGACAAAACCTTGCGGTTTCACTGTGCGATTGCTTTAGCAGTGTCGTAGACTGGGACACAGTGCATTAATGCAGTTTATAAAAGCAAAATGCGTAATTTTCTAAAAACTCGATGAGCGAGAATGGAAGGTTAGACGTGGGAAAAGTAATGCAGATCTGGTATATTTCAAAATAAAAGGGTCCTGCAAGCATAGAGAAAAGACTGCAGCACGGCAACATTTTGACGTAGATGACTAAACAAACGTGAAAGAAATTATGGCCCCGTCCACACGAAGTCAAAACAAACATGAAACGCTAATATATTCCAGAACGTTTGTCTTAAAGACGGAGACGTAAAATAAATGTGATCGACCACATGAATGCATGAAAACGCTGCAAAATGTATGCCAGGCCTGTAAGTGGCGCTGTGGTGCCAAAGCAAAAATAGGCGACGAAATGTTGGGCATGCGCACTAATATTTATACATGGTTGCCCTGCGGGTCCATTTTCGTGGTTCAGTCAAATTCAGGTGCTGAACTATGTGGTCGATATTGCTCTGTTCTTCCTGGAGATATTCCAGAAGAAGAAGATTCTGTTGTAAGCCCGACAGCAGGGTGAGTAGCATGAGCAGCAACCATTCAACACAGTACGGCGCCATTGTTGTTGTGATACTGTGTCGCGCATGCGTGTTTAGAGGCGACGCTATGACGCATGTGTGTAAGAAAAAAAATGCGGTTAGAGCTTAAAGATGGAAACGCGAAAACGGCGTTTCAAAATCTTCCCACTCTGAAGGCGGAATAAAAAAAAGATCGTTTACAGACCCCCGAAACGCCGGCTTCGTATGGATGAGAGGCTGGTTTGGTGAAAAATTAGTGAATTTAGGCCAGGGCTTGACTTCTTGTGGACTGGGCCTATATATGAAGCCTGCTTGCACACACATGCAAACAACTTTACACTTGCAGAGCTCATCTTCAAAGAAGGCGCAAAGAGATTTGCTTTTGTAATTCTCAGACAGAGTAAACCTTTTTTACTGCGCATCTTCATCAATAAGCGGATCATATTCTACTTACCAAGCCGGGAAAATTTTTGATGGAGGATATGCAAATGTAAACATCGACTTTCAAGCTGAACTCAACTGCAACAACTGCATCTTGTTTGATATTCATTACAGTAGGGTGTCAAATCCCATGTAAAATGTCATCAGTCAATTGACGACAAAAGGAGAAACTGGTACAATGCCACAGGAATGGATTGAGATCAGGAGATTATATAAACGTTATGGGTACATTTTTCATGTTTCATCATATTTATTTATACAATAAAGAAACAAAAGAAAAAACTAGTTGCACATGAAATTTAGTGGTTTTTATTTGAAGAATCATTGAAGATCGAAGATTGAATATACTACAGCACAGTATGGT